TCTAAGATCTGATGCGTAATTATTTTCCAAATTAATTATTAGACTAAACTTAAATCCTAATTATATTTTTAGATTAACTTTAAAACTTAAATTATAGCATGCAGGATTCATGGCCCTTGTTTGTTTATGACGTACGAGGTGCTGTATTGATTGTGTGAACTATACAGACAAGTGTAAATTTTACAAATTACCGGTAAGGTATAAAAATTGCAGATTAAAGTGAGAAATATGAAGATAAGAGAATGTAATCAAGCTTTAACGTCCATTGAAACAATACAAAATTGGAGCAGAACAATGACCTCTAAAACATCAGAGGTGGGATCAGGTGCCATGGAGAGTAAGTACCCCCTATCGACCGATAGCACCCGCCGTGTACTCCTTGCCATGATCGGTTTAAGGGAAAAATACGTAGAAAATTCAGTGTGAAAATAATGGCCTTACAAATGGTATAAAAAAGTTTAGTCAACATTCGACTTGATGATAGATTGTATTTGCTGATAAGGTTATTGTATCGAGTATAATTTACAGATTAAAGTAAAAACAATTACAATTTATAATTAAAATTGTTCAAATTAATGTATACATTTCATGGATTTAAAAATATGTTAATTTTACAGATCAATGTGTTGAAATTAAAAAATAAAAATGTGTCGTATTAGTGCTACTTCGCTTCTGTAACAGCTTTAAATATACTGACCTACATTTTCCCCCAATTCACAACTGGCAAGTCAGTTGTATTTCTGGATTGCTCCTCAATTTCACTGACTTTCTGTTTCATTTATCCGATCCCTTCTGCAAATATTAAATATTCATTTTCCTACACTCTGTACATAGTGGGCAACAATTAGAAAATAAATCCTCCGCTCCTCTTTGAAATATCTGCATACAGTCTCTAGTTATCATTCTTATTCATGTATTCATTATCAGAAGCAAAAATTATAGGAATTTAATCTAGGATAAATATCTTTCATCTTTTGTTAGAATTTTTATTTAGATCGATCACTGTCAGTTATTTTCACCTTTTTTAATAAACAGCCAACATCCCTTAACAGGGTTTCTTTTTTATTAAGCGTGACTTTTTCAGCACAGACGGGTGGACAGGCGAATTGATATCCCCTTCCTCTGACATGGCACCTGGTCCCACCTCTGGTATGTTTAGAGGTCCGTGTTTGCTCTGCTCCAAATTTGTATTGCTTCAATGGACTTTTGATTTTGATTACTCTTCGTAGATTGTGCTGGGATCTATATAGTACTACAGTCTGGATCAGATGTTGTTATAAATATACAGGAAAGTCCCTGTCTAGTCATCGAATTTCTTATAAATCTAGCCTGACAATAGTATTCACGGAAAATGGTTTATTACAAACAATTGATATATGTATGAAACTTAAAGAATGCAGCTTTTCTTATAATGTATTATTTTCTGAATATATTATACGAAAATATTTAAAATCTGTTTGCACATTAAGTTTATTTCGTACAAGATCGCAAAAATGTATATCATATTCAATTGGAGGGAAATGGACAGTGTATTTCTCTTATTTCCACTTCAAGATCTTCTCTCAGGCCTACCGTACGTCTGGAAAAAAGCTTTCGCCGTATTCCGTGCATAAATTGTAAAATAAAACACACCTCACTTGCTTAGTGCATGTAAGTTACATTTAGATAGTCACCTGTGTATACAGAACATATTTCTCATTATATGGATTTCCCATGATTTCATGAAGGAGAGGAGGGGAGCTACGGTTAAAAAGTCTTTGTTTGAATCTTTTGAAAGTTTCATTATTTGTTTGTACAGGGTGTCTCAGAGAACATGCAACCATTTACTCCCCTTACTTTGTAGATATGCAAACAGAAACTTATAAAAGTTCCATACCAAATTATACTAAAAAGGCATAAGATTTTATTGATACCAAAATAGGGGAATAAACATCAAAACATTAGTTATGAGGTCATATCTGACATCATTAAAAACAAACAATTACCTAAGAATTTACTAGGAACAATTAGCAGATGTTGAAACTGTTGTATCAAAGTACATCACAGGTTCTTGCGAGTAGGACAATAAAGAAAACGAATCCAGAACACAAAGATACTAATCAATGGAAGTTATAAAGAATTTTTTTTTAAAAAAAGGAAGCCAATAGAATAGACTAAGGTTAAGGATTAAAATCAAAGGCGGTCCTTAGCATAAGGGGAATCATTGCCCCAGCCCATTTTTCTTTCCAGTCTCAAAAGGGAATGTGTCAATTCCGAAATATACCTGAAATTGTTACAAGAAATTTCTACCCTTTGCAGAAAAAATCAATAATGTGGAAAAGGCAAGGTTTCAGCATAATGAAGCAGCCTACATAACTCACAGTGTGTTCTGGACTGGATGCCAGTGGATGGCACAAACATTATCTTCTTCAAATCCAAAACGCGTGCCTTGACACTCACCTGAGTTAAGCCCCTTAACTTTTATTTCCGACATTTGAAGGACAGAGTTTATAGAATAGGATCTTACTGCAGGCAAAATAGTCAAATTATCTCAAATTAACCATAAATTAAAGGCTGATTACAAAGAAATCCTGCACTATAGTTATGAGAAATTTCTTACATCAGATAATTAAATTTACTTATTCAACAAAAGGAACACCATTTCATGCATATTTTATAACTAAATGACATTTTACAACTTCTCTTAATTCTTTTGTTACTCATTATTTATTTGAGGGATTGTTTTCATTTTCATAAAAATAAATCTTGAAATTATACATGTACACAACGAAACTAGGTCACGGATCGCATCCTGTATTAAAATAAAGTGTGACACATTTCTCATTAAAGTTTTTTTTTTGTTCTTTTGTCTGTCTTTTTATCTGTCCGACATATTTGTGCAAATTGTGCAGAAATATATATTAACTGCTTAAAATATACATCAAGATTAATATATCTCTTTATCATATCAGATAGCAGAAATAATTATATATTTTGGGTATTGAAAAGGTTTCGATCTTCTTTGATGTTTTTACTGTCACTCTAGCATACAAATTTTAAAACTTCTATTCAATTGATATTTTAATCACAATATAATTAAATATCATCAGTTATTATATTTGATATATTAAAACTAGTGTCATATTCCAAATTATGTATTGCATCCATCCAGTAAATTCCGAATTACAAGCATAACGCAAGTGTAAGGTTCTTAAACATACACTTGTGTTGAAATAATACAGCTAGTAATGCAGCGACTAATAATGGCAATAGTTTTAAATTTCTTCTTGTCTTTATCATAGTATTGTAACTAAATAAGACTGTAATTGACGTAAAAGAGCAATCCATATAATGAAGAACATGTCAATATGTTCATAATTTTTATGTCATTTTTTCAAAGTGCCACCTTCACCTTCCTCGTATTATTTTAAAAATAGAAATGAAAATCTCGCTTTGCAGGTGTTTCTATTATATATATTATAGAAGCCAAAAAAAGTCTATATATGATAATTCCAAAAAAACCTTGGTGATTTATGACATTTGTTCTTAAAATGATGTGATTGCTTTGTCTCTCAGTTTCAAAGTCTTTCTTCAAAAGACACTTGATATTCTATACTCTGCATTTAAAAAAAAATCATCAACTCTGACATATTTACGAAATGCTAATTTCAAACATAGCTGTAAAAATGTATCCATTTCAAAAAAATATTTATGCGATCAATTGACATTTTCTTTTCTGAGCCGGTTTTAGAAAATATTTCTATTTTTTAAGATGAAAACCATTCTCAATTGAAATAAACCTGATCCCTATCGAAATTAATGCAAAATTATCAAGTAAACAAATTAAAGACAACTGCCGCTTAGAAAACATGTCTGAGAATAAATCAAGTAATTTGTAAACCATATTAAAACAAAACAGCCAAATTTCATGATGAAATCATTGTTGCTTTCTTCTTTATCTAATTCCGTTCGGGATCGTTTTAATTTGGATGAATTTATAGAAAAGTAGATAATTTGACGCCTCTTTTTTTTCTCAATATACCTATTTCCACCATTTTTTTTTTATTGATTCAACAATTTGACTTTTTTCATAATAACACGAGGAGAAAGTTTTAATATTGAAGTGTACTTGATTTTAGAACCTAATGTAAATTGAATAGTGAATTCAAAATTCAAAAAGTCACTTGCTTTACTTTAGTTTAGACCACCTAATTTTTTCCAAAGAAATATAAATTTATGTCTTATTCATTAATATTATAAAAGATAAGGATTTATACTATAAAAATATTTATTGACATATCCTGTTTCTGAGTATCTGTTTCATATAAAACAATACAAAAACGTAGTATTTTTTAACTAACATGTTGACCTTTTTGCACTTAAAATTAAGCACTTACAAAAAATAGGACTACAGGAACCCGAAAAAAAATTGATGTAACCATATGTAAACATTTGTTTTAGTTAGTCTACATGCAAAAAATAATTAAATCCTTGACATAAATGTACCACTCATTGCCTGGTTGTTTGGTGGACGGCCTCATAATCCATTCTGACAAAGTGTTCATGTCTTCTTCTTCATATTAAAGCCCAATGTCTGACATTATCTTCAACAGAATTCATAATAGAAATGTTCTGTCGCCAATTGAAAGATCCGGGGTTCCTGTATTAAGGACCTTTTAAAGATGATTGGTCGTCATTTTTATATATATTAACATCACCAGTAATGACGTACCTGCATCCAGCGGGACTGCAGTTGAAGGAAGAAGAAGATTTAAGAGGATTTGTTTTAGATAAATAAAGGCACTGTAAGTTTTGTTTGGTAGCAGCAGTTTGGGAATCTCTATAGGAAATACAGGATGTAGATTCAAATTAAAGTATGGTGGAATTCAAGACTGAACTTTTCATGATTCAGAAGGTTACTTACGTTTACATCAAAAGTAACGAACGACGGTCAAAGTTTGATCAATAAAATTCATTAGAATTTGTAGTTAGCTTTCATAACAACAATATTTGATTTGTTTTTTTCATTTTTAATGATTTTCTAAATAATTTGATTGTCAACATCATACAATATATATAATAATATATATTTTTTTCATGTACATTATTAATAAAATCATACATAAAATAAAATCCTCAATGGCTCTTGAAGACTTTCAACTACAATTTGAATCTATGCAATTCTGCCGGGATACTGCATCTTGTATTTGAAAACAAAATGAACAGAGAATATCTCCTGAAATAAGAAACAAATAAAAGATAAATACGATGTACTTTGGTAAACAAAATGTTACGATTATATGATTTCCGTTTCATATCAACGGTTGTGACGTCACAATGGTGCGTGAAAGTGGTGAATCAAATAAAGTTTATTCATGCATAACACAATGCAAAACATAATTAATTGCACAATATTTGATAATAAAAATCTCTTCGATTTGTGCTTGAATATGATTTTGATCCAGCTCGTTGTGTGTTTTCTATCCCCACTCAAACTCACAAGTAGTTGGATAAATTCATACCTAATCATAAACCAATATACATGTATATCTATATCTACATTGTAGAAGGTCGCTGCTTAATTTACCTGACGAGTATAAATGTTCATTAAAATTCATCTGTCTTTACTTATAGATAAAAAGTTGATGATTACTTTTTAATTTAAAAATTATAATTACTGTGGAATCATTTAAATTCGTGGGGGGTCAATGTTCGTGGGCAAGCAAAATTTTTTTGGTTCGTGGGGATATAATTTCGTGGGCAGCTCGTTTAATTGGTAGATTTAATTAATCAGTACGTTGACAAAAATTGTTAATGGGGATGTAAATTCGTGGGTGAGGGTGACCCACGAAGTCCACGAACATTGATCCCCCACGAACAATGATGATTCCACAGTATATATTTTTCTTGTGTATATTAACAATATTATGGGGAAAGTGGTCTTATTCTTGATGATTAAAATACATTTCTAACGGTTTAGAAACATTTATGCAAATCTTCATAGTCGGAGACATCTCAATTATAAACATGAAGTATGGTTGTTTCTGTTTATATTTCCTTAATCCATTTTAAATTGCCAGTCATGTAAAGTTTTTAAAAATAGCCGGAAAACATGATAACAGCTTTACTGTACAACATATGAAACTTTTCCTTACGTTTCTATATTTACAAGAGATTCGTATTTGGCCATGTTTCTTTTTTTGTGTGTGTTTTAACGTTGTAGGTTTATTGTCTAATTGTGAATGTATTATTTAAACATAATGTTTTAATAAGTTTATACTACATATTGTTTTGTACCTTATCGATATGATATTTTAATTAATGGATTATTCTTCTTCAGTTGTTTCAGATATGAATTTAAAATAATATATCAGTTTTCATCATGCCGACTTTAAGATTACGGATAAAAGAAAATGATGTGTAATCTTTGCATTAACATGCGTATATATAGCTTTTATCATATCGACAATATCGCAATTAATTTTCTTAAACTCATAAAAGTAAATAATTTTTTTAGATTATTTTTTACACTGTGAGTTCCGTTAATTGAATGCATGTCCATGTTATTGTTAAGTTACAAAGACAACTTAAATACCACGAAACCTTTTCAATACTTGCAGGCTTATGTGAATAAATTAAATGCATAATTTTCAAAGAAATGTAAGGCCTCTGAAGAAAGACACAAACAAGGATATGATGAATTGTACAAAATTTTGATATTTATTTATATTCATGATAGATATTTTACTTTGTATTACTAAGTAGCTTCCACTTTGATTGTCTTAATGCAACTAGACATCTTATGAATGAAATTTTAAGAGAATTCAGTTTAAATTGATTACCATTCCGTCTGGACTGCTTTCCAAAAATCATATTTAATGGATTGTATGTGCTAAGCAAGTTTCTACTTTATTCGATCCCAAATGTTTCATATGGGTTTAAACCAAAACTAGTTCCTGGCCAAGAGAGTGTAGAAACTGAATAGTGTTTGAGAAACTTTCTTATGTTTTTAAGTTATGGTACTGTACCAAGTTCTTTAATAGTAAAATCATTTTCTCATCTAGAATCTACTAGGCAATTACATCTGGTAGTAACATCTTTCATTTTCTGCTTCAGACGAAGATAACAAACAGTATCAAGCTGATTTTAAAGTTCCCTGTATCGACTTTGAAAAAGATATTGGTTTATTAAATCCCAAGTAATCAAAGAAATTCTTCTGATTTAAACAAAATTTCAGGTCGAATAAAGAAGATCTTTTGTCAGAATATGCCAAAGAAAAAAAAAACAGATACGTGGAAGACACCCTAGAGAGTATAGTGCTTTATTACAAAAAAAAAGAAAGAAATTCTCTTGAACTTAACTCAAAGCATGCCTAGTGGCATAAAGGCTGATTTTGTTGTAAAACCAGAAGCAAATTAGTACTTACCAGTAAAAGTCAATTATGAATATATTATTATATGCCTATATAAACTATAATAATTTACCAAAATTCTTCATCATTTATTTTAGTATTTATTTAGAAGCATTATATTTCTTTTAAAAATGTGCATTTATCTTGTTCACAATAGAATGTTTGGTTAAAAAGTTTCTGAGCTGTACACGTACAAAAAGTCAGGAAATGAAATGACAAATCTTTGTAAGGAAAATTAATTGAAGTGAAATTTTCAAGCAATTTCTCTAAAATCTTGTAGATGATTTAAGCGAAAATGGTGAGGACTTCAAAATTACAAACATCTGAAACTGAAAATTACAAATTTAATGTCTTCCTTATTCAATTTTAATGTGTCTTAAACATGAATAAAATTATCGTAAATTGAAGAAGCTTTTTCAAAACAAAAAATCCTTACCTACGAAACGATCTCTACTGATAACAGGAGGAACTGGTATTTTAACTGAAACACAAATGAAAACGTACATTTTATGTTTTACTCAGACATATCAGGTACATGTCATACAGTTGCCTTGTTACTTTAAATAAATAACCATTAGATATTTCCGCGTGTTATCAATTAATGTCTTTACCTTACAATGAAATACACCAATTTAAAAGATATATAATGAATTAAGCTGTCGTTGGTATAACGTTATAGCCTGTTTTTATTTACTTGGAGGTTTCTTGCAATCCTCTTCACTACTTGACCCACAGTCCTCTTCACTACTAGAATCACTTCCTCTCTCCCTTTTATCTTCATCATCCATCATATCCAGATAATGATTCAACATATAGCGTAACTTTCTCTTGTTCTCCTTATTCGTCTTTCCATTTTTGCGAGCAGAGGAGGCAATGGATACAGCAATTAAACTGATAAGGATTATGTAGAGAACAATTTTACCAGAATTCATGATGCCTTCCACCTTCCTAGTGTGTCAAGCGTCAAGCAGATTTTGGTGTCGGTTGTTATAAATGGTGTTTTTAAATAGCTTTTTTGGTTGACCATGTTTTTATTAATGTAGTTTAGTTACGCGACATGCTCATTTAAAAGCAGGAGAACATATGATTTGTAAGAATTAAATACTTGTGACAAAGATAAATACTAAATAGCTGAGAAAGTAATTGAAACAAAATGGCTAATTTGCTGATCCTTTTAGTGCCTTAGTGAAAAAAAGGAATCAAAATTCTTTCATCTTTCGAAAATTAATCGGTCATGATAATCTAATTAGGGCTTTCGCTTCGTGATGGGGAGGTCCGGGTTCGATTCTCCTTCGCCGTGCAGCGTCAAACCTAAGACGTACATGTAGGTAGTGACTGTTCCTTCGACAAGCGCCCGGCACTAGAAGTGAAAGTTACGGATCTTTCGGATGAGACATTAGAATCCGAGATCCCGTGCCACACTAAAGAACTCCCATTGTTCAATGGCCAAGTACCGACTATAGGTTTAAATTTGAAACCCTTCACCTGTTTATGGTGACGTCTCAATATGTGTGAAAAATTCTCGAATGGGACGTAAAACCGCAATCAATCAATCAATCTTAATTACTTCAGATCCGTCCTACAGTAAAATTGATCAGGGTACAAAAACATCAGCCAATTTCTTAATTTGCACAACAACTGTTTTCCTTTATCAAAATGTACTATTTTATACTGTTATTATAATTCTTTATTATATCAAGTGACTTGTGTTTTACATGCATGTTATTTTTGCTTTCATTAATTGAAACCTCGAACATTGTAAATAGTATATTGAACAACATAGCTTAATTTAAAATAAATTATATGCATACATCAGGCGCAGATCCAGGATTTTTTTTCCGGGGGGGGGGGGGGGGGGCACCCTAGACAAAAAAAATTCCAACCCAAAAAATTCTTGACAAGCCAAAAAAAAAAAAAACAACCCCAAACATAAATTCCCGTCCTTATCCAGAAAATTACTTAACAAAAAAAGGGAAAATCCATTTCCAAAACGTGAAAATCACCTATTTCGTGGTGGTAATGGTGAGTACACGTTTTCTAGGAGGGGTCCAAAGTATTTCTTACTTGCTTCAGTATATACTTTTAACACCTCTGCAAATTCCAGGTGGGTCCGGACCCTCCCCCCGACCCCAGCTCTAGATCCTCGCATGTACATTTAGCAAAGAAGATGCTTATCAAAAAATAACAATAACCATATCTTAATATCAAGCCTTTACAAACTGTATAAGTCAATGAAATGGAGTAAATGACAATCGATTTCTTAAAATTCCTACAGAAAAAAAATTCGAGAAAAGGGAAAACAACACTGACCCTGGAGGCGGGACCGGTATCGACCGGTGACTTCCACCGAAAGATCTCTATGTTGATGATCGTAGTCAAAATAAGTTTGAAAAATATTGCCAAGTAATTGACAAACAAATGATTGGTATGTAAAGCGTATCTAATGTTTTACTATTGTTGTCATTTTTATAAAAGTACAAAAATAAAATAGTAGTTATGGATCTCTTGTATTTCAAATTGTAAACTGGTTTTAAAGCAATAAAAAATTTAATGTTTAGTTTTCATCAAAATACAGATTTTTGTCCAAGTTATCTTTCACCTAAAATACCTTTTGCATTCATGAAATGATCAGTCCACCGAGCATAAAATCCGATAAGTTCTTTAATTGGTTTACACATCTGTTTTAGTCATTACAGATAACTATTTGTATAGATAGGTTTTCATGCAGTTTAAAACTTAAGATGAACTTTGATTGATATTTATTTCAAGTGGTAATCTACGATTTTCTCCGATTACTTGATCATGGATCATGACAAAGAGCATATGATGGGTGTGTCCGGCCAAGAGAGTATACTCACTCTTCTATGGTGCCGGGCGCAGCTAGGTTACAGACTTTCATATTTATATCAGCGTATGCAGAGGTTTGTGAAAACAATTATGATATCACCTTAAAACTAACAACAAATCAAATGATTCTGGATAATTTTTTTCCATTAAAACTTAATCACTTTAGTTTTCCCCTTTTTAAATGTGAAAATGAAATGATGTGCAATTAATCTTGCTATTAAAACAAAATGAAGTACTGACTGATATGACGTCACTGACTTTTTCACACGCAGTTTTTGAAGCTTTATTTTTTCTAATTTTAAACCTGTCCCGTGATATAAGCGACGTCGCTGTTGCCGAACCCGACATATACATATGCAGATTGAAGAATCCCCATATGTCTAAAAACACACTTTAAAAAAAAAAACAAAACTGTATACATTTTCTCGAAATATTTTAAAATATTTTGAGACATATTTCCTATGGGCGTACTTAACAGAGCTGCCGGAACGTTATCCCACCTCTGTTCTTTTTAGAGGGGTCTGTCGTTGCTCTGCTCACAATTTATATTGTTTCATAATCATTTTTATTCAATCGTTAATTGAAGTCAAAAGACACAATAGAATCTGACATATTTGTTTAATATTTGGATGTTTGACCAGAGAAAGGCATTGATGGGAAACTAACAACTAAACTTTGTGAAAACATGATGACTTTACCTTTTATCGTGAACTTCCTTATTGTAGTCATGCAGCAATATACCATTATGGTTTGTATTTGGTGTTTACATCTCGCATTAGATCTAATATGCAAGGACGTGTTCTACGTATGATCAATTTCTGAGCGGACGTAGCATAACGGTAGCAGCTATCTCGTCTACAGTCTGCATTTAGCAAATTTTATCGTCGGTACAATGATTTTATATGCAAATACAAACTGTAGTAAGTTTGAATGTAGACTGACGTTATTAAAAAAAATCAAACAAATTGTCTACCCGATCAGTCGACAGGTTCATGGGAGTGTTACTGGTCGACATAGGATGCTGACTCCTCCACTGCAACGGATCCTACCTCTATTACCTCTGCTCTCAGTTTGTATCAATTGATCAAGTCATGTAGTAAACAATAATTATTTCTAGAAATATATCCCATATCATTTTAAAAGAAAATATAAACAAAATTTGTAAAAAGTTAAATAAGTTTTTCACTATTAGAACATAATTTAATTTCTATGTTGAATAAAATACAAAATAGCATAAATTGACTAATTTCATAAAAAATGCTTGGCAAATATTTGTAAAACGCAAAAAAGATTAAGTACGTGTTTTTAAAGAAACAAATTTTATTATTTAAAATTTTAATAAATATCACACGGTAACAGTTTTGTGATTGCATGTGTTTTTTTTTATAACATATTTAATTTGTATAAATTATGAAAGTAGAAAACTCAATTCCTGTTTCAAAATATTATTTTTTTGTGATTATTCTTTTATTATGTCTTTGTTATATAATATCTCGGGTTTTAATTTTTAATTCCATATTGATAATAACTTTTAATATTAATTATAGTCTTTTGTTTATCCAGGATTACAACAAATTAGCAAACAGCTAGTCGAAAATTGTGGTCCTTCATATAATTTTTTAAAGCAGATTTGTACAGTAAATTTGGAAACCCGAGTAAAATAGATATGTGTGTATCCCTTACTTGGAATCTTTGAATTTTTTAACCTACACAAAGTCTGCTGGCTAATTCTAAAATAATATTATTCATATGACCTATTAAAAGTTTAACAAGAACCTCTAGAAAGGAATATGAAAATCTTTTCATTCTACAAAATAAAATCTTTACCTGTAAATTCATTTTTAAACATAAAAAAATTTTAAGAATCAAAGAAACGCTGTTTATAGTAGTTTAACAAAAAAATCAAACCGGTCGACAGAGGATGCTTCAGTTTGCTCTGCTCTTGATTTGTATTGTTTCAATAGACTTTAGAGCTTGATGACTGTAAGTTATCTCCATATTTCATGTCTCTAAGAACTACATGTCATCAACAAAAATGCTACTTTTGTGCTTCTCTTCCATGTACAGGTATTATTTTTAACACTGTTTTATAACATCAAAATAATAATAATAATAATAAAAATAAAATAAAAAATAGATAACTTTATATCAGTACTTGCAAGGACCAATTGGTAGGCAAAACCTACGAGACTAAAATATTTCTCTAAAGTCAATTGACATATTTTTATAAATGTCATACTTTTAGAATAACTACATGGATACTGAAAGCCTCTAAAATCAGAGGTATGTCATTTTTTGTATTTGGTACATATATAATTATAGTATGATGCGATGTACAACAACATGCCCACTGTTAGCACTGTCTGTTGTAAGAAATCGGTTTGTTTTTGTTCAGTAAAACTTGGCACAAGATATCCTGTATAAACAGGGTTGGGTTCTATTTCATTAAAATTCCAGAAGGAAGGATAAGTAATACATGTACGCGCTGAAAATTAGAGTGGGACTATTGAAAAATCTCTTTCTTATGATGAAATTAAAGTATCGAAGGGCACACCTTTTACAGTATAAAGAAATTTTTGTTACAAGCATAAGCCTTAAAAGAAGAAGAAAATCATTATCAGAAATTACAATCATAACCGTAGTTTACTAATAAGGATATGTTAAAACAAACTTTCACATCATGATATGTTATTGTTCTTTTTGATATATCATTTTCAAACACAAATATGCTATATTTAGCTTAATTTCACCATTAAAAATCATGCTTAGCATTCAATCAGCACAATCATTAGAGATAGCAGCCATTCTAGATAAATCAGTATGAGTGATTTAAAGAAGCTCTAGACACTGCAAACTTAAGAAGTCTAATTCCACAGTTTTTTATGCAGTGTTCTGTCTTTACATTAAAGGGGCTATATTTGGTTTTGACCAAAATTTGTCCCCAAAATCAAATTTTGATGGAGAAATCGAAAATTATGTTCTAAGCCAAGGGGATATCTGCAGACTTCAGAGCATTAAATATTTTCATTAGCCATGACGCCATATGTTACATGTAAATATTGATGTCAGGAAAGAGACGTAAAAATGTCCATGATTTATAGAGAAAAATGTGTATATTACGTCAATATTTCGAGTAAAAGTCATCGAGCGCAGGTCTGCTCCAACTCAATGTTTTGATATAATGTTTGGAATGATAATATCAATGAAATATGTGAATATTGTTATGGAGCAGGCTTGCGCTCTATGAATTATATAGTAAAAACTGAACAATTTTGTCCAATTTTGTCCCCTCTCTGAAAAATAACGCAAAATCCTAATAGTTTGTGACTTCATAGAAACAAAAATTGCCAATGACCTACATGTACTTTGAAACCATATTTTTGTTAATTCAGATATTTCATACAATATATACAATTCAGCACATGTCAAGAAATTTTCAGAATTTGACTTTTTGGGGGTGGGGGGGGGGTGGCAAAAATATGCATATACCGCATATAGCTTTTTAAGTGTTTCACAAAATCTGCAATTGAATAATGCATTTTTTATTTTGAACAGAGCCAAGATAAGGAATACTGAGAGGCAAAAGAAACGCAACATCGTGTTTTAGGGGGAAATATTACATATAGGATATTATTTTCAATCTAAAAAGTAAGGACGTCTTCAACTTTGTAAATATCGGTAATTTAACGGTTGAATGATTTTCATACCTTTACCGGAAGTTAAGTTTGAGTCTGCTTAACAGAAATAAAAAAAATTGCATGTTTAACGAAGTATTTGGCAATAATATGGGGTTTTAAGGATTTGCATCTGTTCATCATAAGTAATGCAGCAATGCTCTGAAAAATAAGTTCCCCTTTCTTTTCTGTAAGCGATGCAAAGGCTTCCTGAAAATGACTTAACTACGCATTTCCATTGCTCTAGCTGGAAAATCTCAAAATAAAGGTGACTGAGAGTTCCAGATGCAAATATGACCCAAATCACAGGCCCTTACGTATCATTAGCATGAATGAAAGACCTTGGACCGGAAGTACAATGGTTACAACACTGCGCTTGGCTGGAGAAAATTCGACCTCATCATCTGAAAAACAGGCATTTAAAAATGGCAAAGAATATTTCTTTCGCTCAGATCTCGAGACTGATGAACCTATTGGATCGTAGAAATCAAGTTGCAACTGTTGTGCATGGCAATTGCACGCTGTAATTGAATGGCCGGGATGGGGGTGTTTTAACAGTCATGTGTTACTTTCTGAAGTTAAAAGATAATCATTTAACATTTTTATCTAATCTTTGATGTTTTCAAATCAAGTTTTACCTTAGTGTATTCATTTTTGAAAATCATTAGATAAAAAATTCAAATTATTGTAGAATACTTCTTGATGCGTTTCTTTGAGTTTCAGTATATTTTAATATTTGATATGATATACATGTATAGTACATGAGATATGGAGAGAACAAAAGTTATTCAAGGTCAGAAGTTCATTCAAATAATACAAATTAGGAGAAGAGCAAACATAGACTTCTAAAACATCAGAGGTGGAATCAGGTGACATGGAGGAATGAGCATCCCTTGTCGATCGGCCATCATATATATATATATATATATATATATATATATATATATATATATATATATATATATAATATATATATATATATATATATGTATGCATGTATATGTATGTATTTATTTATCTCATACGTCTGGTGGATACTACCCATGAGATAAACCTATGCTTTATCCACGGGTATGTGCTTTATCAACAGCACTTCTGGTTTCGACATAATCCCTCGGCCTCGCTTCAAGATGTAAATTTATCCAAACATCTAATTGTGAAAGTTCTGTGTTATCAAATGAATGCTAATAAGCAAAAAATTATAAACAAAAAAAAATCATTACACTTCAGTGAATTATCAAAATTTATCAATGCACTGGCTACAGTCCAGCGATGGATGATGTTACCCCCCCCCCCATCCCCCCCCACACAGGAAATGTTAGACCTAACAGTTAAAGTTGTAGTTGGAATATTCATTTGACCATGCAAGAAAATCTAGCTACACTTGTACTTTTCTTATATTATACTAACTATTTATCCCATGTTTATCCCTTTATCCCGTGGATATGACTCATTGGATAAATTTTTCATAACCCACAGTTGTGACGTCACAATGGTTTTTGCGTTAGCGTGATGAAGTAAAATAAAGTGGAGTCCTATATAAAACAGTGTAAAACATTGGTTGTGAAGTATTAAACATGGGATAAAAAGAATCTCCCATGATTTGTAGTTGGATATGACTTTTATCCAACTCGTTGTGTGTTTTTTATCCCCTCGCCAAGGCTCGGGGATAAATAACACACAGCTCGTTGGATAAAAATCATATCCAACTACAAATCATGGGAGATCCTATATATAACTAACCATGGATCTACGAGTAGCCTAGCACTGCCGTACACAGAATGATTTCAGAGGACGAATCATGATGATTCCTTGGTCGTTATGTACAACACTGTAGATTTATCAGTCAAAAGTTTGTATGAAATAAATCTCCAACAGATTGTCACATATGTTTTTAAAAGATTCCAAGATTTTCTGTACAGTCATGATCTACAAATATGTCCACGTCAACAGTGCGACGTCATCAATTTACGCGTCATCGGGTTGAAATCATTCATAGATTCACAGGGATTATCTCAAAATTTTCTCTCTCTCTCTCTCTCTCTACATATATATATATATATATAGCCTACGTAAAACAATACATATATGTCATATTGATTATTGAATTGCACACAAAATCCCTTTATGTATAATTTATTAGGTTTTACATATTATTTTGAGTTTGATATGAAATAAACAATGCAATATTTATATCAAACGAATATAAACGTATTCAAATTCAAATCTATGTACAATCTTATATCTAAGTAATATAGTTAATGGGAATTTAAATATACACATATTACATTACCCCAAATAGGATTGATGTATGATAAATTGTACCAACTATAACTCAACAGGTCTTAAGTGTCTGAGAGTAGTGATTGTAAATTTGATATAATTTCAAATGACGACACATACTGTGTTAATATTTTCAATGAAACAATCTCTTCTTTTCAAAAATATACTGCACCACTAAGTTCGTTCACCCAAATGAGTTCAGATGACCATAACAAGAAGTAACAGTGTATCATCTCTTAAGATTATTTTTTTCATTAAAATATATCTTGTATAATAACATACTGAGGCCCAAAGTAAAACAGTAACTCGAAGATTGATTAACTTCCCTTGATTGATACATTGAGGGGAAATCAGAGACATAACTCTCCTTATACGTTACGTTAAATAAATAACAATACCACCTGTCCATATGAATACTAGTATCTATTAAGCGCGCCCCCTTATTAGCAGACCTATTTTTGTATTCATATGAAGCAGAATTTATTCAAAAACTTCTACATGAGAAGAAGAAAACTCTTGCTGTGGCCTTCAACTCGACATTTCGATATACCGATGACCTATTATCAATTAACAACAGTTACTTTCATTCATATGTCGACTCGATATAGCCCAGTGAGCTTGAAATTAAAGATACCACAGATTCTGACACATCTGTTTCATATATAGATATTTTACTAGAAAAAGACGTTAATGGTAACCTAACAACAAAGCTTTATGATAAACGTGATGACTTCAACTTTTCAATCGTCAACTTCCCTAACTTATGCAGCAAAATACCCTTATCGCCTGCATATGGGGTTTATGTCTCTCAGTTGATTCGATACGCAAGAGAATGCTCTACGTATGAACAATTTTTAAAACGAGGAAAGGTACATGTATTGATAAACATGTTGACGAAACAAGGATATCAACAGTCTCGTTTGAAGTCATCTTTTAGCAAGTTTTCGGTCGATACAATGACCTTGTCAGCACAGACAATCTATTGTTGAGTCAAATGCTGACTGACTTTTTTCATACTAATTGTTAGGCCATTATTTATACACTTAACTGTCTACGGATTTTTCCGGTTTTGTTTCCCGATCATGACAAATAGCACAGGAGTGACCGGTCTGCAGGGGATGCTCACTCCTCCATGACACTTGATCCCACCTCTAAATTTTGAGGTCTGTGTTTTGCTCTGCTCCAGATTTGTTTCGTTTCATTGGACTTTCGAGATTAAATACTCTTCGTTATCTTCATATTCAATTTTATTCTCTTAATTGATAGAATGGAAAAAAGTTAGAAATACATCTCTATATGTTTCGTGTAAATCACAATGTCACATATTCATACGGATATCTATATAGAAACTCTAAATATTTGCTACAATAAAAAGAATGGAATGTTACATTAAGTCAGATAAACTTTCAGATCAATCATGTGTAGTAGATTACCTCTGTTCAAATGACACCACCAAAAGTTAGGACGAGGTCTCATTTTATCAATGAACTGTTCAAGTTATTACATTTGAACAAATAAGTTCAGGAACTCTTCGTGATTAAAAAAAAACTATCACGTAGTTGCACAGATTTTTCCTCAATTTTTTTTTCATTGTTCAGACGTTTAAAACATTTTGCGCAAGCCTAGCTTTTTTATAAATACATAAACTCACTTAAAGTGTGCAAGGGCATTCGTTTGAACAAAAATGAGTAGTTTTACTTCACTGTTTACGAAAGACAGACAACCTTGGGTGAGTAAAACTGAGTTAAGCTTCTATTCAGCTACGAATAAAACAAATTTTGATTTTTCTTTCGAATCTCTGTTAAGCATATAGTTGAATTGTCAATATCATACATACACACACTTTATATATATAATTTTCTAAGTAAGTAATAAATTAAGTTATACTAGTATGTAAAATAAGGGCTTAAATGGCTCCGAAAACCATAGCCTCTTCTTTCAGTCACAATTTGATGCTATACAATTCCTTCGAGCTCTTCTATCTCGGATTTGAAAACAAAAGGAACAGAGAATATCTCCTGAAATGAGAAATAAAAATAAATACTCAGAAACGACACATTTTTTCAATCTTCGGTGTACAACATGGTGCGATTTATAAAAAAAAAGCTCTATTGATAAAAAGTACTATATATATATATATTATAAATAAAATTTTTAAAATTTTTCTTTGGGCCTCTCATGTATTTCTCATTGTCGAGGATTCATGTATCATCTAACATTTGCTGAAATTGCCTCACCTTGGTAAGCATTGTGTAAAATCATTCTTTATTACTTCTGAATAAAACGTTCATGATTTTATAATAAATCAAAGAAATGATAGAGTATTTTGTATTCAATGACAAAACAAAAAATATAATTAGGTTTAAATCCTTATGTTTACATTAATTTCCATCGATTAGAAACATTTATGCAAATCCTAATAGCTGTTGACAGCATTACATCATAACTGTCAAGTATGGTTGTTTTATATATATATATATATATATGTATATTTATTTTAATTCCAGCTTATTAATGCCAGTCATGCAGAATTTTACAATTACTAAATGGGAATTTACTTCTTATTCTTATTAGTTCACGAATTGTATTTTATCATAATGTCAACTGTAAACTGTACTATATCGACATAGCTGTGTCCTGTTTTATGACTTGCATTAATTGTTGAGACAGCATATCACAACATTATATTTTTATATTGCAGTCTTTATCTTCATCGGAGCGTGAATTGAATCACAGATTGAAAAGGACATTATCACTAATTGATGGTATCACTCAAGGTTAAGGCTATCATCTTTTTCCTTGACATTAAAAAAGCAAATATTACTGTTGCGAGTCTATTTCTATATCAAAAGATTAATGTACTTTTTTTTTGTTTTGTAATAAAAGATGATACCACAGAGGGTCTCTCAGATTATACTATAAAGCTGATATACTTTATGTATAGGCCGCGTAGCAAAGTGGTTAGAGCGTCTGCTCTAGAGTTGCGGAGTAAGGAGCTGATCTTTATGTCGCGGGTTCGAATCCACTGCAGGACGTGGAAGCCGGTCCTTCGGATGAGACCGTTTAAACCGAGATCCCGTGTCGCAGTAGGTGTTGGCACGAAAAAGATCCCTCGAAGCTCAATGGCCGTGAGTGCCGACGATAAGTATAAATTTGCAGCCCTCCGCCGGCAAGTGGTGGCGTCTCCATATGAGTAAAAACTCTCCACTCAAACAACAAACAAAACTTTATGTATAAACCCTTTTGAAAAAGTGAAACTGAGATTCAAAGTGGACTCTACCGAGTTTCGTGGCCCTAGAGCCTGGTTTTAAAAAAAGCAACAAATTCATTTTGTCACACTTTAAAAACAATATCAAATCATATGTAAAAGCATTTCTTTAAACAAAGAAAATTAAAGAAATCCTCTTTGAATGTCATTGAAGTGAAATTTACTAGTAAAATTTCATAAATCTTTTACAAACTTCAAGAGCTTTAAGTGAGAAAAAGATAATTTGAAGAAGATTTTATAAAAGAATAATGCATCCTTACCTACGAAACGATCTGCACTGATAGCAGGAGGAACAGGTACTTGAACTAAAAAACACAAAAGTGCATATTATATATATTCTTTTACGCAAATACATTATAGCTGCCATAACCAATACAATACTACTTTCCATGGAACTCAATATTTGTTTCCGTGTTTTATCAATGGACACGTTTACCTTGCTCAGAAATAACGTTTGATGTTTCCACATGTGCGCAATTTCATTGCAGCTTCGTTTATACTGAGTTACGATCAATTAAACTAATAATACAAAGGTAGATATGAAATGTTATGAATTAAAATTGAAGATAATTATGAAAATACAAAAATATTATGAGAGAGGATCAGACTAAAGACAAGTCACACAATGCAAAATGACATTTAAATTTGATGATCCACTAAATTTTAAGATGAACAAAGTCTTGCAAAAAATAATACTAAAAATAATAAATTACATCCGCACCCAAAACAGAAGTCAACAAATAGCAAATGTCATTATTTATAAATTGTTATATTTTCCTTTGCAGTACAATCTCCCCGTAGCTTTGTCTTTGGTGATTTACGACCGATTATATCATCACCAATTTAGAGATGAAATATATCATATATGAAAAATGACTTTTATTAATAAGAAGGCTTGGATAATAAATCAGCCTGCTGTTGTTGAAGATATATAACCTGTATTACTTACTTCGGAGGTCCTCGCATTCCTTTTTACTAAATGACCTACAGTCCTCTTCACTACTTGACCCACAATCCTCTTCACTACTTGACCCACAGTCCTCTTCACTACTGGAATCACTTCCTCTCTCCTTTTTATCTTCATCATCCATCATATCCAGATAATGATTCAACATATAGCGTAACTTTCTCTTGTTCTCCTTATTTGTCTTTCCATGTTTACGAGCAGAAGAAGCAATGGATACAGCTATTAAACTGATAAGAATTATGTAGAAAAGAATTTTACGAGAATTCATGATGCCTTCTACCTTCCAAGTGTGTCAAGTGTCAAGCAGATTTTGATTTAGCTTGTTGTAAATGATGGCTTATAAATAATAAAACTCTTTCTCTGGGGCACTTAATTTTATTACGTGACATGCTCATTTAGATACAGAACATGAGTTTGTTAAAAGTAAGAACAGACTTCATTCCAGTTGTGAATAATATAATAAATTAATACATGAGTAAGTATTTGAAACAAATTTACCAATTCGCCCTTTTCTTTAATTATCTTGATGATATGTTGTTGTAATGAGGAATTTGTTATATATTTTGAAATTTCTTCTTGTCGAAAACTTTTTTTTATCTTATGGATAACTTGACCGGGGTAAAAAAAATAATAAATCGGTGATTGTTTAAATTTTCACAACATACTTTTTTTTCCTTCTTTCTTTCTTTTTTACAATTTTACGATTACACTTTTCTTTAAATTAAGAAATTAAAGTATTAAGTTCTTGGTATTTTACTTTTATAAATAGAAAAATTGTAAATATCTTTTTTTTATCGCGACATAGCTAAGTATTTATTGCAGGTCTGATTTCTTGTACTTATAATTTCTTATACTTGAAATATGCCTTAAAATCTCTGAGTAATTGAGAGTAATGTGTTATGTGTTATACAGTTCAGGACAAGGAAATATGGAGATAATGAAAAGTAATCATGCTCAAAAGTCCATTGAAACAATACAAATCAGGAGCAGAGCATACAATCATCAGAGTTGGGATCGGGTGCCGTAGAGGTGTAAGTAAGCATCCCCTGCAGAGCGGTCACACCCGCCATGTGCTCCTTGTCAGGATCAGGCAAACACAAAAATCCGTAGACAATTCAGTGTGTAAATAATACCCTAACAATTAAAAAGAAAAACGTTAGTCAGCATTCTGCTTAATGATAGATTGTATTTGTTGACAAGGTCATTGTATCGAAAATAGAAAATCTGCGAAATGTTGACTTCAAGCGAAGCTGTTGATATCTTAGTTTCATCAACTTATATTTCAATAGCTTGCCTCGTTTTAGAAATTGTTCCAACAAATAATAAGAGATATTAAAGTGAGGAATTTTTTTTCTTAACAGTCAGATTATATCTTATCTCTTTTAAGACGAACTTGTACATGTATGTACCTGAGCCGAAGGCGGAAGCTGTAACGGGCGATCAATGTTTTACAAAGGAATATATTGGAACACTTTTGAAATTCTTCTCAAGAACAGCAAATCTATAATTAGTCATATTTATATGGAAGCATCTTCAGGTAGTGTACATTCAAATTGTTAATAACATGGCCCCGGAGGTAGGGTAGTCCACAATTGACGATCAAAATTTTACATGGGAAACATACAAAAAATCTTCTCAAGAACAGCAAAGCTATGATTTAACATATTTATATGGAAGCACCCTAAGGCAGTATAGATTCACGATTGTTCAATACATGACTTCCTTGTAGAGTGTTTACACAATGGATAGTCAGTTTCACAGAGGAATACACAGGAAAAATCTTTAAATATCTTCTCAAGAAAGCAAAGCTATGATTGGTTATGTTTATATCGGAGCATTTAAAAGGTCGTTTAGATTCAGATTCTTGAAAAGCATGACTCTGGAGGTAGGGTGGGGCTATAATGGATGACCAAAGTTTTAAATAGGAATACATAGCAAAAATATTTAAAAATCTTCTTCTCAATAACAACGCAACCATGATTAGTCATATTCCATTGAAGCATTTTCAGGTAGTGTGGATTCAAATCTTGATTCCTGGGGGTAGGATGGGACCACAATGGGGGATCAAAGTTTTACATAGTAGTATATTTGAAAGATCATTAAAAATCCTTTTCTCGAGAACAGCAAAGCCATGATTACTCATATTAATACAGAAGCATCATCAGATAGTGTAGATTCAAGGTTATTCAAATCAACCAATAACCCCAAAGGGGGGGGGGCAATAAAAGAAAAAACTTATCTTTTCTTTAAAATCTTCTAAAGCCATAAATAGTCAAAGAAATATTGAAGCATCCTCAGGAAGTGTAAAGTTAATTTTATTCAAATCAAGCCCCCCTCCTCCTTAATTGGTTGGGACCACTTATATATTTAAAGTTTTCAATACTGAACTGATTTCTGCGTTTTTCTGGCCAAAGTGTTCAGATGAGTGATGTGGCCCATGGGCCTCTTGCTTAATACCAACATTGCATTGTTTATATATTCAGACATTTACTGCTGGTTTGTAAAATAAATGTCAATATTTCGAAGAAAAAATACTACTATCTGGTAATTTTTACTGGTTCTGTTTATCAGGATAATATTTAGGAAAATATTTGCGTTTTTTAAAGATATTATTTATATCAAGCATTTGCAAACTGTTTAATGAGTGAATGGAAAAAATGAAGATAGCGAAAAATATCTAAAAAGAATTCTATAAATAATACAAATCAAGAAGTTAAACTACGGATATATGGAATCACAAAAGGTTGGTCGCCCGCGTGAGGCAGTGGTTAGAGAGTCTGCTCTAGAGTCCCGAAGTAAGGAGTTGATCCTTACGTCGCGGGTTCGAATCCACTGCAGGACGTGGAGACCAGTCCTTCGGATGAGACCGTATAAATCGAGGTCCCGTGTCACAGTAGGTGTTAGCACGAAAAAGATCTCTCACTGCTCGATGGCCCTGAGTGCCAAGCATAGATATAAATTTGCCGCCCTCCACCGGCAAGTGGTGGCATCTCCATATGAGTGAAAAATGCTCGAGAGGGACGTTAAACAACAATCAACTATTAAGAATTGTTCAATCGTATAATAAATGCTTTAACATACATCATACATTTTTTGATAAAATGTATACTTTTGTGATTTTACGAAAGCATTTTTAAATTTTTTTTTTCATACATTGAAAATATTCTCAAAATAATGGAAAGATTACTTTCGTTTACATTTGAGTTTCTGTTACACATATATATTCACTTACGTATTTTGACTGACATATTTCATACCCATGGCTGGATCATTGTATCTAGAATAAGGGGGAAGAAAAATTGTGAATTTCATTGTCCCTACCCCGTAGGGCCTGAGGGGTGGGACTAAATTTGATTACGGTTTTTTTCCGTGTACGTAATTTATATATATATATATATATATATATATATATATATATATATATATATATATATATATATATATATATATATATATATATATATATATATATATATATATATGAAAATTAAAAATAACAAGGCAACAATGTTAGTAAAACGTAAGCGCTTTCATTATACTTCTTCAGACGTTTTACAATTCAAAACAATTCAAACATGTGACGTTATAACGCTACCTGATGATAACGTCAACAACAAAGCAATGACGTCACAATGCTTATAGAGGAAACAATTATAGAGTCTAAGTAAAATTACTTTGTTCATTAATAGCGTAATAAATAATAAAGTCATGAAACAGTCTATATTAAACTATTTAAGGACGGTTTAAAAATCTTGATGAAATGTTTTTCTTTTTCCCGTCTTTCTAAAAGATTTTCTGTTTTGAGTTTATAAAAGGGATAAACTGAGAATTGTCCCTGTCCACAAACAGCAAGATGTTCACTGAGTTTTATTTTTCTGTACTCGGGTTGGTTGATATGTTGTCTATGTATGCGTATACGAGTGCGTAGTGTGGTCCCCGTTTCTCCTATGTATAATTGTCCGCATCCAGTGCATGTTATACAATAAATAACGTTTTTAGATGCACAGGTCATATCTGCATTGATAGTAAATTCTTTATTTCCGAGTGTAAAAGTACTTCCCTCTTTAATATACTGGCAGGTTCCACAACGTGAATCAGAGCATTTATTGACCACATACAAATTCCGTTGGTGAAATGTAGATTTACACAATATTCTTCGGAGGTTTTTAGGTTGTCTTTTACTGTTGATGAATTTATATTTTTCCAGTACTTTGGACATTTTCTCATCCGTCTGTAGAATGTTGTTGAGGTGACGCACTGTAGAGGTTATATTCCTCTTCTTTGGATTGTATGTAGTTACAAGCGGTAATATTGCAGAATCTGATGTGTCACTTTTTGAAGAATTAATAAGTTTATCTCTGTCGATTTCTATAGCCTTTCTGATTCCGTCCTCAATGATTCCAAGAGGATAGCATTGTTCAAGCAGATATTTTTTTAATTCATTCAGACGTTCATCTCTTTTTTTCTTGTCGCTAACAATAGTGCAGATTCTTCTAGCTAAATTGTAAGGGATTGAACGTTTCGTATGACTTGGATGACAGGAACTGAAATGGAGATATTGATGTGTGTCTGTCGGTTTGTAGTATATGTCTGTTGAAATACATTCTCCATGCTTTGCTATAAGGACGTCCAAAAACGGAATGCTTTGTAAACTTTCGTCCATTGTGAAGTTGATGTCAGGATCTAGATCGTTTATAATATTTAGGTAAACTGCTAGATTCGCATCGCTGTCATTCCAAATGATAAAACAATCGTCAAGGTATCTTTTCCAATTGTTCTTTATATTTTCTGAAGTCTGTTGGTCAAAGTACTGAGTAGTTTTTTCATACATCCTCTCCTCTAGATATCCTAGTGTAAGGGTGGCATAAGTAGGGGCCATCTTTGTACCCATTGCCGTTCCTTTCTTTTGTGCATAATGTTTGTCGTTAAAAGAGAAAGTATTATTTTCCAATACTATTTTACTAGCCTCTAATATGAAGTCTTTGCTGAAACGCTCATTAATTTTTTGTGGATATTTATCAATCCAGTACTCGAGCGCCTTGACACCAAGAGAAGTAGTAATATTAGTGTACAAATTAGTAACATCCATTGTGACTAGCTTGGCATCACGACTAACTTTTTCAGGAAGATGTTTCAGGAAATCTAGATCATCCCGAACATAACTTTTTACTTCTAAACATAAAGGTTTCAGTAATATGTCCATAAGATGACTCAGCCTTTGTGTTGGAGCTTTTGGTCCACCCACGATAGGTCTAAATGTAAGATCCTCTGGATCGCTACATGTAATGTATGCAGAGT